ATTATTATTGATGAGACAGAGAAGAAAGTTAGGACAGGGGAGAAGCTATGTTGAAAAAGCAGAATAAGGACGGAATTATATTGTCTGTATATTTTTGCTATTATTCTTGTTTTATAGCTTTTTAAATTATTACTGCGTAGATGCTGCGTGTCGTGTCACAAGAATTTAATTGTTCAGAAAGACGCTATGTTATGCGTTGTATCAAACCCACACTTGCACCTGAACTATACATGTTATCAAAAAGCACCTCAACTGCTAGACTACCCCAGGCCAAGACTTGTTGAAAACAAGGACGTCAAAAATATATTGGGTTCTGAAGCTATAGCTAGACAATACAACATAAGTGCATTCAGAAATTAACATACTTCCAATATATTTCCAACACTTTTATGGAGAATAAAATCAGGTAATTCAATTACTGAATTTAAAAAGTTAAAAACATTTTCCCTGGTAGAAATAACACAATACCTCAAGCAAGATATCTTAGAAATTGATAATAACTATTGAAAAGCACAAAGTATATTAAAAGAATATGTTTTCACAATCAAGCATTTCTCAAAAAATTGGCCGAAACCCATAACAATAGTAGTGCAATGTTTACTTAAAATCTTCATTTTTAGTCAAGAAGAATCTTGAGAAAAATCTAGGTCTAAATGTGCTGCTTTTTTGGGATTGCAAAAATGTTTACACTTTCATTGACCGCAATGCATTACGCATACCAACACTCCCTCTGTAATATTTTACTTTGCTAATTTCTACTGTGGATTGTGTCTCTGCTGACCAATGGAAAGTCAACAAGTTACAACAGCCTACATTTTGAATATGTGACATTGGATTCTGATGATTGACCGCACAAAAGTGTGTCATCTTCTATATTTGTGGATGTGTTTTGCTTAATCCATTGCTTAATTAATTTAAACTATATAAAAATAAGTGTGTTGATTAATCGGGTATTTTACAATAGGAACAAATAGTATTATTTTGTGTGGTCATGGATCTCCAATTTAATCCCTGACACCCATTTCTTTTGGGGTTTGCGTTTCTGCTTCATCTTACTGCTGACTATAATGTAGTTCTTTGTGAAGGTTTGGATGATTGGAGAAGGCAACACATTTATTGTCTGTCAAAATGACAAACAGTCCTGTGTTTTGAGAACTCTGTTCCAAGAAATGCCTGCATGTGATTGAGAAAAACTGTAATGAAATGTAATTCAAAAGCATATAACATGACTGGTATGTAAATCCATTTACCACTGTGTGCTATAAATACAGTGGTAATATGCAACATTTTACGTCTATGCCTCTGGTACTTGTAGAGATGAAATTATGATTCATACAATATCGTCATTTCGGTAGGTTCGGACAAATGCCAATCTAAATTGTTCCAATTATAAACACAGACTTCCCCTTTTAAAATGATACTTTTGTTAAACATGTTTGGAACTCAAAGGAGGCCTCTTGGTTAGGGGCACCTGACTAGTGTCTGAAATGACCCTGGTTCTAATTCACTAACTGCAAAGGTGAATGCTATGATGTTCTGTCCCTGAGCTGGACAGGTAAAGCGAACTGCTTTTCTTACCCCGTATGACATACACCCCAGGTTGTTGCTGTAAATAATAAGTCGTTCTTAATGAACTTGCAGGTATAAATAATGGTAAAAAAGATGACCAATTATCAGTAGCCATGGTCAGCAATAGCTACATGCACATTACTGTTAAAACGATTAGCGGCACTTAGAAATGTCTTTGTTTTAAATGGATTTTTTTTTTTTAAATGTGAAATTAGTTTGAATAAGTAACCTAGCTAAATTAACAGGAAATCTAGCTAAATTAATAGCAAATAGAGCCATTGACAAGGTTAGAAAATGTTTTTTTTTCTAGAAATAATAATTGTCTCTTTTCAAACTGTGCCTTCATCATAGAACCCACTATTTGCATTGCAGATCTTTGGCATTTCGGTTGTCAATTTGTCGAGATAATCTGAAGATATTTCATCCCAAACTTCCTGAAGCATCTCCCACAAGTATGATTGGCTTGATCGGCACATTTTAGGAACCATACAACAACTCAATAGAGTCGAGAACCGGTGACTATGCTGCCATTATATACAGAATACCAGCTGACTGCATCGTTTGGAGCTGTGCTTTGGGTCATAGTCCTGTTGTTGAAAAAAAACTCGGTTCCAATCAAGTAAACAGGGTACGGTATGGCGAAGTGATAGCCTTTCTTTTTTCAAGATCTCTTTTGTCCTGTACCAATCACTCACTTTACCACCACCAAACACAGCCAGTCCACCACATTGACTCCACATGTCTTCTTTGTGATCCGAATACGTCAAACTAGAAATATGACACTTGTTTCCATTCTTCCTTCGTCCGCGCTCTTTTGTTTATCCTTATCTTTCCTTTTATTGGCCAGTCTGGGATACAACCTTTTCTTTGCAACTCTGCATAAAAGGCTGGCATCACCTCTTAACTGTTGACATTGAGACTGGGGTTTTGCAAGTACTATTCAATGAAGCTGCCAGTTAAGGACCTGTAAGGCAAATGTTTCTCTAACTAGACACTAATGTATTTGTCCTCTCGCTTTTAATCCTCTATCTATTCTGATTTAAATCCAGTCTGCGCTGTTCAGTGATGGAAGTAGTACACATTGTACGCAATCTTCAGTTTCCTGGCAACTGCTTGCATGAAATAGCTGCCAATTCTCAGCACAAGAATAGACGGAGTAGATTCAGAAAAAAGTTATTTGTTTGAAGCCATTTTGAGCCTGTAATTCTGATGCTCCAGATACTTAACAAGTCTAGATAAGTCCAATATTATTGCTACTTTAATTAGCACCACAGTTTGAGCTGTGCTAACATAAAATTGCAAAGGGGTTTTCTAACAATGCCTTTTAAAACGATACGCTGGGATTAGCAAACACAATTGTACCACGGGACTGATGGTTGCTGATAATAGGCCTCTGTGCACCTATGCAGATATGCCATTAAAAATCAGTTTCCAGCTATTAAAATCATATATACAAATTAACACTGTCCACCCTGTATTACTGATCAATCTGATGCACTTGGTGACCTTCGTGATGCAATCATTTAGGGGCATGTAGCGTATGTGAGTGATAATGTAACTCAGACTAAACGTGTTTAAACCTGAATCTTTACGAGTGATTCAAGAGCAACGAGATTAGACGTTGCAGCAATTTGATTGATGACATTTAAGGAGTTGTTGAAATATTATTATCAAACGACTGTTGTAAACTTCTCCCCTTCCGATATTTTTATTTTTATTGATTAAGGCTTTTTTCCGGGGTAAATTATTTATTTTATTCTTTTTTTAAATAGAAATCTAAATAAACCACTGACGAATGAAACAGAGATTTTCTTACATTTAGACGGCTTTGATTCGTTAATACCTAATTTTCTTGATTAGATTTTTTAAAAGTGTTTTGAGAAAATATCAGAATTATTTACATAGTATTTAAAGATATGGCTTTGTTATTTCCCCAAAAAACCTTATTGAATAGGTTGTCAGCAGTTGACTTAATTTTTTATAAGTGGGTGAAAGCGAGTCACACCCACAGAGCTGTTTATACACTCCGAATACACTAATCAAAGCTACTCAAAACACATCAAAAAAGCAATCCTTTCCTAAGTCTAAGTGGAGCACATGATGAAGGGTCATGGGATGATCTATTAACATGGCGTTTTGTGGAAGAGGATTGGCTGGACCAGGCCTGTGAGCATCTTTGGCACGTGAACGCTGACAATTTCAGAGATCATCTCTGGGTAGCTGACCCTGGTGGGGAGAGACTGAGCCTGGACAAACAAGTCGTAGGTGAACTGGTGTAGGTTCCTTATAATCTGAAAGATAAAAGGGGAGTGCAGGTTGAAGAGGCGAGAGGTTATGGGTCAAAGGTTAGAGGTAAATCGGTTTGTAGTCCTGACGTTTATTAACCTACGCCAGGTGGCAGTTAGGGACTATGAGTTAGTCAATTTAACCAAGTTTAGGCAGTCTTGTAGTTGAGCTAGCTGGAACAGGCGTTGTTTATTGGTTTAAGTTTAATGGTTAGTTTATATTACCGGATGCAGGTAGTCCAGCAGTTGAGTTAGCTGGAACAGGCGTGAATGATTGGTGTCTCCGTCGTGTCTGGCCAGACGTTCCAGCTCTTTGATGTAAGACTTCCTCAACTCATCAAAACACCGTTGATTCCTCAGACCCTCTACCGGGACTAACAGAAAACACACACACGTCAATACTGAACTTGACAATAAGCCCTTTATGTATCCTAACCACTAGGCCGGGAATAGTGAAACTTTAAAATACAGGGTCTCCATGTTTTGAAGAGGACAATCAAAACTCACATTAAACAGGTATGCATTGGCCGTTTTGTACAACTGCTTTTGAGTTGTTTTTTGTTGGATTGCAAAAGTTTCAAAAAAACATTATTAGCCAATATACTATACAACTACCTGTTAAGTGTGTATAGGTCTGCTTGTTTGCACACTATTAATACATAAAAGCACTGTAAATCTGCAATGACAGTAGGCCAAGGTTTAGACAAGTTAGGAGGGTATCAATGTATATCCTATGTAATTGTTCACACGAGGAAAGTGCTTTGAAAAAGAACACAGAGAGTGAATATTACATCTCAATATGGGGGTTTTAGAGGAGCGTTGTAAAAAAATATTTACAATCCAGTGCATTTTAAAGAGAGCATCAAAACAGCAAATAACATGTGGACATGTCTGTCTCTATAACAATCCAAATGTCAAAATAGACCTGTCATGTTTTTTATCTAGACAAAAAAAACTAAGAAGACAGATAGAAGTGCAAAATTAACAACAGCAAATACTAAGTAGCAGTTCACAAAGTCAGAACAAATTAATTTGTAAAAAAAGAAGACTGACTGGTATAGGACATATGTTGTATTTTTTTTTAAACATTTTAATTTAACCAGGTAGGCCGATTGAGAGCAATTTCTCATTTGCAACGGCGACTTGGGGAGCAGCTGGGATTTTAACCCAGGACATCATACACACAAAGCATGCACACTACCACTGAGCTACCAACTGCTCCAGTATATATACACATATCTATACTGAAAAAATATAGAACATAGAAAAGTTCCTTGAGCTAAACATCACTACTATTCTTAGTTTGAAGCATTTTGGATTAAGTTTCCGCATGCGGTTTTTATGACTCAGGACACACAGTTTCAGTGAATGATTTTGGACAATGTGACTTGTAATGAACAACCACTCTATGGGCAGTCAAAAACAACTCGAAGGCACAAGAAATTTCACCCAAATATAAATCAAGTTCAAACTATCTTTTTAATTTTAACTAAATAATCAAGAACAAGTTGAATATGCTATCAGCCTTAGGATAGTCAGAGATATTTGGTTATTGTATCTCATTTTAGAGGGTTTTAGCCAATTAAGCATTTTCAGACTTACACTTACAATATAGTATTTTTAAGATATATTCAATGACAAAATATATGACTGAATGTCACTTCAGTTCTACTTTCTGAGTATGATTCATCATTTCCAGGAAGAGAGAAGAATATGGAAGCACTGTAAAAGGATTTGCCACAAGCTCAACTGACTGGCTTCTCTCATGTATGATGAGTTTACATGAGTCTGTACAGACCTTAAAACTGTGCATGAACTAAGTATGAGCTTCTAACTTCTGATTGAAACTGCGCGAGACCTTCTAACAGAACTCTTTTCCACAAAATTAAACATAAAAAATATAAACATTATAAACAACAAAAATAAATAACACTACATTTTTCTTAGTCTTATTTTTTAAGTGCAAACAATCAATACTAAAACTTTGTGTGACAGCAGTTGTAGCAGCTTCTGCTTAGACATCAACACCGCAGTAGTTGTTGAACTCTGATGAAACAAGCAGCCACACTTCTCAACCGTCCAATCAAATGGGTGACACGCGATACACCAAGGCCAGCCTGGATTGCAAGGGTCATCGTGTGCACAAAGCACGTATTGTCCAGCACCAACCCTCCCTCAAGCACAGCCACTTCCATATTAAGCGCAGCCACTTCCATATTAAGCGCAGCCACTTCCATATTAAGCGCAGCCACTTCCATATTAAGCGCAGACACTTCCATATTAAGCGCAGACACTTCCATATCAAGCGCAGACACTTCCATATCAAGCGCAGACACTTCCATATCAAGCGCAGACACTTCCATATCAAGCGCAGACACTTCCATATCAAGCGCAGACACTTCCATATCAAGCGCAGACACTTCCATATCACGCGCAGACACTTCCATATCACGCGCAGACACTTCCATATCACGCGCAGACACTTCCATATCACGCGCAGACACTTCCATATCACGCGCAGACACTTCCATATCACGCGCAGACACTTCCACATCAAGCGCAGACACTTCCACATCAAGCGCAGACACTTCCACATCAAGCACAGACACTTCCACATCACGCAGACACTTCCACATCACGCGCCCCACTTCCACATCACGCGCCCCACTTCCACATCACGCGCCCCACTTCCACATCACGCGCCCCACTTCCATATCACGCGCCCCACTTCCATATCACGCGCCCCACTTCCATATCACGCGCCCCACTTCCATATCACGCGCCCCACTTCCATATCACGCGCCCCACTTCCATATCACGCGCCCCACTTCCATATCACGCGCCCCACTTCCATATCACGCGCCCCACTTCCATATCACGCGCCCCACTTCCATATCACGCGCCCCACTTCCATATCACGCGCCCCACTTCCATATCACGCGCCCCACTTCCATATCACGCGCCCCACTTCCATATCACGCGCCCCACTTCCATATCACGCGCCCCACTTCCATATCACGCGCCCCACTTCCATATCACGCACCCCACTTCCATATCACACGCCCCACTTCCATATCACGCGCCCCACTTCCATATCACGCGCCCCACTTCCATATCACGCGCCCCACTTCCATATCACGCGCCCCACTTCCTCATCACGCGCCCCACTTCCATATCACGCGCCCCACTTCCATATCACGCGCCCCACTTCCATATCAAAGCACTATTTGCTTACATTGTGTCTTATCTGTCAGTCTGTGCTGTTAATTGTTTCCAACGAGTCCCCAAAATGCTGCCACAAACTATATTAAAGTGGTGGGGGCATCGTCAATGAAATTTCACCCTCATACTCAATCATATTGATATATTGCTAGACAGCTTTTCATCTTAATGTGAAATATTGTCACATTCAATATAGCGAGATCCCGTGGCACACCTACTTAATTACACAGCATGAACGCCAGCAACTTAAACTCCTTACATGTCGGCGGTGTTTCGAGATCTGTAAAACAGATAACAAACACGCTATTCGCAGTAGTTGTAAAGCACTATCAAAGTGATGAAAGGAGGCGTAAACAACACTGGTTCAACACTACAAATATGATTACACATCTTAAGAGCCGTCATCCCGAGCAGCACCAAGACTTTATGAAAAGTAAGAAGGAAAAAACACTGACAAAAACCCATCAGCTGCCGCTACTTCAGTGACAAAGCTAGAAAATACAGCAGCGAACATCCAAAGGTAAAACAGCGTAACGACTAAATCATTGAATGTATTGCTCATATTAACCAGTCGTTCAGTGTGATGGAACATGTTGTCCTCAGCAGGCTAATGATGTACCGGTATGCTATTAGCCGCGGTATGCTATTAGCCGCGGTATGCTATTAGCCGCGGTATGCTATGCCTAGCCGTCACTACTGATGTGGTATTACCTGAACTGTTGTCGCCAGTCACATTAGCTTTACCAGTCCTGTTAGCATGTTGAGCCGATGAAGACTTTACCCTTAAAAAAGCTGTCAGCTGCTGTGTGACAACAGGAGTGCAATTGTATCCGCATTTGATAATATGTTTAGGAAATGGAAAATAGAAAGAGAACAAGTGCATGTTGTGTTACGTGAATTACGTAAATTATTTGAAAATGTATTTTTATTTATTTTACTCCTAAGGACTGACGTTTGAAGTCTTAACTTAAAAATAAAATGTGGCACTAGCATCATTTATTCTTCTACAAGTAACATAATAATTCACCTATTTTTCCGGGGTGAATGTCTGCCTACATGAGTGTAATAAGGTAAAGGTAGTACAGGAGTCAAGACTTGGATTCTCTTCAGTAAAATTAAAGTGTATATATATATATATATATATATATCGGTATCGGACAAATTATCGGCATTTCGAATATCGGCCAAAATCAAATATCATGCATCCCTAATATAAAGACATAAACATGTTATGTTTCAAATCATCGGGATACTTTACTAAATATGACGGGGTTTAATACTCGGTACGACGGGGTTTAATACTCAGTACGACAGGGTTTAATACTCAGTACGAATGGGTTTAATACTCGGTACGATGGGGTTTAATACTCGGTACGATGGGGTTTAATACTCGGTACGATGGGGTTTAATACTCGGTACGATGGGGTTTAATACTCGGTACGATGGGGTTTAATACTACGATGGCGGTACGATGGGGTTTAATACTCAGTACGATGGGGTTTAATACTCAGTACGATGGGGTTTAATACTCAGTACGATGGGGTTTAATACTCAGTACGATGGGGTTTAATACTCAGTACGATGGGGTTTAATACTCAGTACGATGGGGTTTAATACTCAGTACGATGGGGTTTAATACTCAGTACGATGGGGTTTAATAATCAGTACGATGGGGTTTAATACTCAGTACGATGGGGTTTAATACTCAGTACGATGGGGTTTAATACTCAGTACGATGGGGTTTAATACTCAGTACGATGGGGTTTAATACTCAGTACGATGGGGTTTAATACTCAGTACGATGGGGTTTAATACTCAGTACGATGGGGTTTAATACTCAGTACGATGGGGTTTAATACTCAGTACGATGGGGTTTAATACTCAGTACGATGGGGTTTAATACTCAGTATGATGGGGTTTAATACTCAGTATGATGGGGTTTAATACTCAGTACGATGGGGTTTAATACTCAGTAAGATGGGGTTTAATACTCAGTACGATGGGGTTTAATACTCAGTATGATGGGGTTTAATACTCAGTACGATGGGGTTTAATACTCAGTACGATGGGGTTTAATACTCAGTACGATGGGGTTTAATACTCAGTACCATGGGTTTTAATACTCAGTACCATGGGGTTTAATACTCAGTACGATGGGGTTTAATACTCAGTATGATGGGGTTTAATACTCAGTATGATGGGTTTTAATACTACTGGTCTTTGTGTCCTTTGCATCACAGAGCATTTGCTACTACTTGTGGAGGAACAAAGCACTTTGTTTTAACCAGGTGTGTGTGTGTGTGTGTTCACCTGTATGAGGACTTTGTTTTAACCAGGTGTGTGTGTGTGTGTGTTCACCTGTATGAGGACTTTGTTTTAACCAGGTGTGTGTGTGTGTTCACCTGTATGAGGACTTTGTTTTAACCCGGTGTGTGTGTGTGTGTTCACCTGTATGAGGACTTTGTTTTAACCAGGTGTGTGTGTGTGTTCACCTGTATGAGGACTTTGTTTTAACCAGGTGTGTGTGTGTGTGTTCACCTGTATGAGGACTTTGTTTTAACCAGGTGTGTGTGTGTGTTCACCTGTATGAGGACTTTGTTTTAACCAGTGTGTGTGTGTGTGTGTGTGTGTGTGTGTGTGTGTGTGTTCAGCTGTATGAGGACTTTGTTTTAACCAGGTGTGTGTGTGTGTGTGTGTGTGTGTTCACCTGTATGAGGACTTTGTTTTAACCAGGTGTGTGTGTGTGTGTGTGTGTGTGTGTGTGTGTTCAGCTGTATGAGGACTTTGTTTTAACCAGTGTGTGTGTGTGTGTGTGTGTGTGTGTGTGTGTGTGTGTGTGTGTGTTCACCTGTATGAGGACTTTGTTTTAACCAGGTGTGTGTGTGTGTGTGTGTGTGTGTGTGTGTGTGTGTGTGTGTGTGTGTGTGTGTGTGTGTGTGTGTGTGTGTGTTCAGCTGTATGATGACGAGACTCACTGATGCTGAAGAGGAGCAGAGCCTT